TTATGACTGAAACACAGGAAATGCAGTGAAAGTATGCATTAGTATCCAAATTCTTGCTATAAGTCTATGAAGTGCAACAAATCAGTTGAAAGTTCAAACATTCAGAGATCAAAGTATTTATTTTTTATTCATATTTGAAATCTTTTATATTTTTATGAATACAATATTACTAATAGTAATACAAAAGTGATAATCATAGACTATCATAGCAGTGCTGTAATAACAAAAATAGTATTCATTGATATACTGTTCATAGAGTACAGTATTATGAACTTCATAATTTATTAGTATCTTATGATATGGTAGAATAATTTAATTATTCAATTGTGAATAATTGTTAATAGCCAATAAGATTCTCATAAACTTTATGACATAAAGTTACCAACTTGGTAATACCAAGTCATATTTTATTCTAAAGCATTGCGTGATTCAATGTATAAATTAATTTATTGATTATTGAATTAGAAATAAAATTAAATACAATTAGTATAATTATTATTCCTATTCTATACACAACTTTGTAAAAATTAGTTAAATTAAATTATATTTTAAAATTTTTTATTCTAGAGTAGAAAATAATTACCAACATTTTTCTCATATTATAAATAAATAAATAAATACAGTATATTATTAATTAAATTATTATCTAATAAAACAATTTCCTAGGATATTATTTGTCACATCAATTTTAATGATAATTAAGGGACAGATATTGCCATCATTTATAAGTCAGTTACACACGGATAGTATGACCGATAGAATTGACTGCTATTTCGGAGACTATCACTCTTACTGCGGGCCCTATTCAACAGTAGCCAACCCTCGGGCGCCTCCATTGGCAGGCAGTGGTCACCAGTAATCCACTTCAGTATTAAGACCAGAGTTTGTTTGATCCTATCGTTCAACATAATTATAATATACTGTTCCCTCGAGTCTGAAGATATAAACAAAAATACATTTTAAATCTATTGAAAGTATAGTTTTTATGAAACTTTACAAACCATTAGAAGTGACATCAAATTTGAGTCCATTGGGGGACTGGTCTCCGAGGGACAGGTGCTCACGAAATTTAGCGCTCAACTCATTGGTCACTTGAATGAATAGCACCGGTAGGGACGGGTCGGTACAGTAGAACAGAGTGTGTATACCAGTGAACGGAATGATAATATTGGAGCGGAATCTGGTTTTCGGGCAATTCTTGGCGACACGTTTCATACGAATGGAGTCCTCCCTGACCTCCAGCGCTGTGATTGTCGTCTCAAATGTGCCAAACATTACGTACTTCACGAGCAATACGATGGGAAAGTGCATTGCCGTGGGAGGGGTCGAACTCAGGCCACACTTCCCGCACAAACGACCCACGTATGGGTAGGAGGACAGGGATGAGCAGTGTCTGCACCGATACATTGGTGCCAACAGTGGGTCGACAGGCGGTCGTAGGCCCGGTCTGTTTGGACAACTGTCCTCATGCCGGTGTACGTCGTCTAATGGCATGGAAGTGACGGTACAGACATAGCCGTCAAACCAGCGGCACTTGACCCGCACCTGTAGGAGCCATTGAAAGATGAGGTGGTTCGGGCGTAGGGTGGCGGACAGGGAGGCGTCGAATACTATGCCATCGATGTTACAGAAGGGCGAGTGTCGACCCATTTCTGTCATACAGGTATAGCAGGCGCTGTGATGACAGCCCGATAGTAAGACTCCGGTGTCGAGCAATAGGTGACAGAAACAACACTTCGCGCCCTGAGGTATGACCACTTTATGGGCACAGGTAGTGATCAGCGACACATCGAAACCCATTGTTTTGACTGTTTTTTGGTCACAAATTCAGATTATTTTAAA